ATGTCTTTTTCTAAGAGTTTTATGGTTTCATGACTTACATTCAGGTCTTCGATCCATTTCGAATTTACTCTTGTGTATGGGGTTAGACAATGGTCCAGTTTCATTCTCCTACATGTAGCTGTCCAGTTTTGCCAACACCAACTGTTGAAGAGGCTCAAAGGTTGTTTTTTCTGGGAAGTTGGGAAGAATTTCTCCTCTTGCAGGAAAGCTTGAAAATCTGGGCCTGGGTCTGGCCTGGAGCTGCCCCTCCTGACCACCTGTACCCCTGAGTCATGGATTCATTTGCTCCTGGTTGGGTGCTGGAGGCCAGGCCAGCCAAGGGGTCCAGGCACACACCCTCACTCAGTACTCCAGCTGACTCACCACATGCCCTGACCCCCACATTCTGAGACTGCACCCAGATACGCAGGCACCACCTGTACACAGGCTGTACACTCTGACCCCACTTTTCCATACCCCATCTCCACAGCAGACACACACAGAGTAAGCACACATGGAAACATGCAAAGAAATGATCAGATGGCCCACACACAGACATCCTCAGGTGGGGTCCCCTGCACATCTGGGCACACACAGGACCCCACACAGGAAAGGCATAGGAACACAGAGGCTTCTGACACGAAGTTAAAGCCGTAATGATGATCATAGTTAACACGCATTTGCGCAGGCTTGCTACGTGTCAGGCATGGTTCTACGCCTTGAACAGCTTAATTCTTACAATAGTAAAGGTAGCTACTATTTTTCCCTTCCATTTTTATAGATGAGGAAACTGAGGGACAGGGAAGTAAATAAGATTCCGGAGGTCACAGAGCGGCCTGGTGCAGACCCTCGCGCAGATGCCTTCCCCTCGCCTCTCAATTTCATTTACTTACATAGACACATTCATTCGAACGCAGCATTCTCCCGATCTGCTCCATGCACACTCAGGGTCAGCGCTGCTTGGGAGCTGGTGGCCAAAGACACCGTAAGTGGTGTGTTGGCACAGCGTCTGGTAAGCTGCGTCGAAGAACCTGACCGGTGAGAAGACCGGACATTCTGAACGTGGTAGTGGCCGTCGAAAGCCGGGCGAGACCGGCGGAACCGGGGGCCTGCGGATGCGCGCTCCCCAGCTCTGCGGCGGCCCATCCTCGAGTGGGGACTTCGGTGGGCGCCGAGGGCCTGGCCCCCGCCCTCCGCTAAGCCTCTCCCCGCGTCCTTGGCTGCACCCGTTTCCCGGCGACACCTCAGGGCTTGAGGCGAACCGGCCTTAGGTCTTTAGCAGAAGGGCCGCGCCCTCGGCCGGGGTCCGGGATTCTCGGAGAGACATCTTGTGCCCAGGCGGGAGGGAGCGCACCTGGTTCTCGGTACACCTTCTAATGGGAAAACAACAACAGCCACCGTCGGCGGGTGGATGTTATTTATAATTCGTGGGCCAGTCTTTGAACCCTTTCAAACAAAACCCACAGCGATTTCTTTGAAAGAGAAATGCCTGGACTCCGCTCAGAAGTCGCGGGTTTTCTAAGGACCAGCAAGCCGCTGCATAGGTAGTAAAACACCCGGCGCGCCACATTTGTTTCTGGTCATTTGCTTTGCAATTGGTTTATGAAATGAAACAGCAGAGTTTATAGAAACCGTTGGTTCTGAAAGTGGGCAGGTTTGTTTAGCCTTTCGACCCCAGTATTGTTCCTGGAGAATCGTGCTATTTGGGTGGGGAACGGTTGGGTGAGTCTCTGTCAAATTAACCCTCCCCCGCCGGCCCCCAGCTGCAAGTCGGGGCTCGGATCGGGACCCCGCGCGCGTCTTCGGATTCTACACTCCGTCACTACCCACCTAAAGCTCCCGCTTGGAGTTTCCACAGGCGGGAGGGTGGGGCCGTCCAAAGGAGTTCACCCAAACCCCGGTGGTGGCTCCCGAACCTCTCTCTGTAGCTGGGACCCCGGGAACAAAGGCGCATGAGGAAAGGTGCCCGGCTGGACGGTCAAGGTAATGTCCATGCAGACCACCTTTTACTGCCAACTCTTGTCCCCAAAGAGTGTACTTTTTATTTATGAAAGATGGGAGCATTTAAAGCAGAGGTTCCCCTCCACTCCCCAGGGGTCCATCACCACGCTCGGCCGCGCCTGGGGACACCGCCACGCAAGTCCCCGAGGAAGCCCAGAGCTACGACAGCAGCGGAGCCAGTTCGGCGGCGACTCAAGGTCCAGCCGGGATTACCCGACCCCCTGGCGGAAAGAGGATCCTTGTAGATTTGGGGGGAGGGGGCTGTGCTCTATTGTTCACTCCGAACCAATCCGGATCTGCCCATTTCCTTGCAGCCAATCCCGCGTCACCCAACACACCCCGCCCTTCAGGCACCAAGTCCCCATTACCTCCCCCCGCGTCCCCCGCGGTTCTGGGGAAGCTTCGTGACGCACCGGTCCCGCCCCCAGCTCCAGCCCCGGGCGAGTGCGTGCTGACGTCATGCTGCGTGCGGGCCGGTGCGGAATTGCTCCTTCAACTCCACGGGGCAGGAGGAGTTAGTTAGCAAAGAGCTGGGGCTGGGCGCGCGACCCTCGTCCTTCTGCCCCTGACCGCACACTTTGCACACATCTCTTTTCTGCATGGTGGATATTATTTTTCATTATCCTTTTCTGGGTGCTATGGGGGATCATTCCAAGAGTAAGTCTTTCTGTGTGTGGGTGTGTACGTGTGTGTGTGCTTAATATGCAATATTTCTAATGCAGAAGAATGTTTAGCGGATTCTACAAGTGGTTTCTATTTGACAAAACATCGGGAGAAAAAACAAGAATGCATTTCTCCTGCAGAATTGTTTAGTCTTTGGAGTTCTGTTGTGTTACTTGATTAAACGCTTCTCAAGCCTGCCTGGCTGACCTCAGGCTGTGAGATCTGCTTCGGCTTTGCGCTAAGGCAATCAGGTTTTATTTAGGGATGTGGGGTTGTGCGCTTGCTTGCTGGTCTTTCAAACAAGGAAGATTTCTCTGGCTTGATCTGGGGTATTTAAACTAATTGTCGGAGAGGATGAGAGCAGAGTCCGCTGAGAGCTGACGTCTGCGGGGATTGGCGGAGTCTCCGCAGGGGGAGTGTGAGGACGGAAATGCCAGAACATCACCGTTCGGTAGTGATGCGGTGGCGTCCGCAGTGCCTAAATGCCTGTTTGCTCTTTCCTTGCACTTACACACTAGCTTTTCGTTATAAGGTATATCGATAAAACGACTGTGTCCGAATGAATTTAACAGCGAAAAAAGATTTGGCGGGGGTGGGGAAGAGACAAAAAAACCTTCACAAATTCAGAAGCATTTTCTTTTCCAATTGTTTGAACCTTTCGAAAGCCCACTTCTTTTCCTTGTGGTCGCAGTTCTTGAAAGAGAGCGCGAGGGTGAGCAGGTTGGGCTGGGGCCGGAGGGGCCGAGGATGGCGGGGGCCGGACAGCCAGGCCTCACGCGAGCTCGGCGCCCTTCCTTGGCAGAGAAGCCCGGGACGGCCATGTGCGTGGGCTGCGGCAGTCAGATCCACGACCAGTTCATCCTCCGGGTGTCCCCCGACCTCGAGTGGCACGCCGCCTGCCTCAAGTGCGCCGAGTGCAGCCAGTACCTGGACGAGACGTGCACGTGCTTCGTGAGAGACGGGAAGACCTACTGCAAGCGGGACTATGTCAGGTGAGGCTCCCGGGAGCCGGGGCGCTGCTGCTGTCTTCTGGGACCGGGGCTCAGGGATGGTGGCCGGACCGAGCGCCTGGGGAGAGGGCCTCCCCCGCCCCGCTCGCGTACAGCCGCGCGCCTCCGGACGGGGGAACTCCCCGCGAGCCGGTCTCTGCAGCCTCCCTACGCGCACAAAACGTCTGGGGCACTCGTGTCCCAAGCGGGTAGCAGCAGCCCCGGAGTCCAGGCCGGCCGCAGGCCCCACGCTCACACTGCCTGCGCCTTGGGCCTCGCAGGCTGTTCGGCATCAAGTGCGCCAAGTGCCAGGTGGGCTTCAGCAGCAGCGATCTGGTGATGCGGGCGCGGGACACCGTGTACCACATCGAGTGCTTCCGCTGCTCCGTGTGCAGCCGCCAGCTGCTGCCCGGGGATGAGTTCTCGCTGCGGGAGCACGAGCTGCTCTGCCGCGCAGACCATGGCCTCCTGCTCGAGCGCGCCGCCGCCGGCAGCCCGCGCAGCCCCGGTCCGCTTCCGGGCGCCCGCGGCCTGCATCTGCCAGGTAAGCCGTGCGTTCCAGGCCCTGGGCCTCCTAACCCGATGTGAATGCAGGAGAGTGCTTGAACTCAGAAGAAAAGTTGTCACTGCGTGGTTCTGTTTGCCAGATTGTGTCTGCTGTATTGTGTTTCTGTATAATGCAGAACTGCGTGCTAGACACACGGCTTCAGTGTGTTTGTGTGCCCCCCCGGGAAAAACTGTGGGTCAGCTGTGAGCAGGGATTGTGTGAGTGTGTGAGCATGCGGGAACTGTGGAGAATTCTTTTCTCCGTGATCGGGAATATTTGCGGTACGGTGGAAGGAGCAGGGGAGCGAATGACAGCAGGGAATCTGCAGTGGAGCCTGTCTGGGGAGCTCGTCTTGGGAATTCCAAGCAGTGTGTTTCACTGTCAGAGAACAGATAGGTGTGCCTCTGGGCTCTGTGTGTAATCCATCTCCCCTCCCGGGCTTGGTCCTGGGCTCTGCTCGGAGCCTGCTGGCAAAGATGGCTCTCAAGGCCAGTCACCCAACGAAGAGCGGGTGTCCGTGTTTGTGTTTTGAGTACCAGCTTGATGAACAGCTTAGCCAAGTGCTTCTCCGTGGGCAGGGAGAGGAGGCCCGGCGGATCCGAGACCATAGAAAACACTTCTGGGTCCTAATCAGGAGCTTCCCAGAGACGGGGCACGGGCGTGTGGTTAGAGGCCTTCGGGCAGTGCCCCAGGCTAGGGGCTCCCGAGAGGCGGCCACGAACCCCAGGCGCCCGTCTCCAGGCCGTGCTGAGCTGGGTGCCGTGTGGTGCACCTTCCTTCTCTGGTCCTCCCCTGCCTCCCCTACAGAAGGAGGAAATGGGCTGGATGGATTTTTTTGTAAATATTTATCCTGACCTAGAAATGCCTGGAGGGGTATATACACCGAAACAGCGCAGTATATATCCTCGGGTGTGTCGCCCTGGCCTGGCTGGGGGTGTGAAGCCGGACGAAGCCGGGGTTCAGGTGCGCCCTGGTCTGGCATCTGGGGGAAAGTGGGTCTCCTTTGTTTGCTGCCGGCTGTGGGCGGTGGAACCGGGAGAACCCCAGGCCAACCCGGGATAGCGTTAGCGGCCGCGCGGGCTGGGGCCGGGAAACCGGGAGCCCCGAAGGAGGAGGGGAGCCGGCGGCCTTGCCCAGCAGCCTGGAAGCCGGAGGCCCGCTCGCGCCGCAGGCCAGTGCTTTGCGGCCTTGCCCGGCCTCCGGACGAGCAGAAAGGGCTTTCTCCGGCCTCGGGAGCAGAAGACAAGCCCCCCAAAATCGAATCAGCCCGGTGCCCCGGGCCCGCGGCGGCCTCCTTCCCCTTCCTCCGAAACCCCGACTCCCTCCGGATGGCCTCCCCGGTCCCGCAGGGCGCTTGCGAGGGGCCCCGGCGTCGGGTAAGTGGCGGAGGCCCGGCCGGGAGCGGCCCCTCGCGTCCCGCGGCGGCTCGGCGTGGCCCCCCCGCTCCCCTGCGCTCCGGGGAGACCGCTGCGAGGCAGCCTTTTCGGGAACTGGGGGAAGGGGTGAAAACGCACACCCTCCGGGCAGAGCGAACAGATGCAAAGGGAGACGAACGATACAGCGAGATACATGGAATAAAAAAATAAAAGAAATCGGTCCGCCGCGGGGCGTGGCCCTGGGCGGGAGGGTGTCGCCCCTCGCTCACGTTTTGCCCGCGTCCTCGCAGATCCCGGGCCGGGCCGGCAGCCCTCGCTGCGCCCCCACGTGCACAAGCAGACGGAGAAGACGACCCGCGTGCGGACCGTGCTCAACGAGAAGCAGCTGCACACGCTGCGGACGTGCTACGCGGCCAACCCGAGGCCGGACGCGCTCATGAAGGAGCAGCTGGTGGAGATGACGGGCCTGAGCCCGCGGGTCATCCGAGTCTGGTTCCAGAACAAGCGATGCAAGGACAAGAAGAAGTCCATTCTCATGAAGCAGCTTCAGCAGCAGCACAGCGACAAGGCGGTGGGGACGCCGCGCCGCGGCCGGTCGGGGGTGGGGGCCGGGGTGCGCGCGGCCGCATGTGCCTGCCCTTTTCTGGGCGAGCTCACCGGAGATCCAGGGGGAGCTGGGTGCTCCAAGTGCCGTGTTTGTGCGTTCACGGCAAACCTCGCCTTGGGTTTAAAGCTCGTAATTATTGGCCCTGAGGTTGGGTCACCGTGTCCCAGCGGCCGACCTGAATGGGCATCCGGGCCACCGGGCCCACTGCGGCCTGGATGTGCAGAGGCCTCGGGGCGGGCTGTGCCCCTCTCTCTGCAAGGCTCGGTTTGAACACTTTTTCTCCGAACACCTGGCGAGGAATGGCACGCAGGCCTCCTGTTCCCTTGCCCTGCTGGCCCCCAGCCCTGAGGCTGGGCTGCGGTGGCGGGTTGCGGCCCAGGCTATTCTCACCGGGGAAGGAGGGTCCACGCGGGTGCGGTGGAGTGTGCACCACCCTGGAAACCAATTCAGGCCCCCGGTCTCGCACCAGTGCTTGGGGCCCCAACATTAAAGGCGGCGGGAAACTCGAGCCCTAACTCGGGCGGCCCCCAGCCCCACTTCTGCTTGTTCCGCAGAGCCTCCAGGGACTGACCGGCACGCCCCTGGTGGCGGGCAGCCCCATCCGTCACGAGAGCGCCGTGCAGGGCAGCGCAGTCGAGGTGCAGACCTACCAGCCGCCGTGGAAAGCGCTCAGCGAGTTCGCTCTCCAGAGTGACCTGGACCAACCCGCCTTCCAGCAGCTGGTGAGGTCCTGCCCTACCGGCCCTGGCAAGACGGGAAGGGGGACTCCCAGGGGGTGAAGGGCTGGGGACCGCCCGAGGCGATGGCGGGTGGGTTTGAGCAAAGATGGCTGCAACCGCACCTCTGCCCTGTGCACTCTGAGCCCGGCCTCCCTGGATTAAGCGCTCGCAAGAGGTCGAGGGACTTGCCGGCCCGCGCCCCCGCCCTGGGACCCTGCCTGTGCGGCGGAATTCCGCAGAAGGGCGTGCTCGCGGCCGGAAGCTCGTTCCCCGGGGCAGCGCCGACCCGGAGCGCAGGGCCCGGGCGCACCAGCGGGCGCGTCCTCACTCCCTCCCTGCTGGTGTCTCCGCCGCCCCAGGTGTCCTTCTCCGAGTCTGGCTCCCTAGGCAACTCCTCGGGCAGCGACGCGACCTCCCTGTCCTCGCAGCTCCCGGACACCCCCAGCAGCATGGTGCCGAGTCCCGTGGAGACGTGAGGGGGACCCCCCGCCCCCAGCCCGCGGACCTCGCATGCTCCCTGCATGAGACTCACCCAGGCCCGAGCCATTCAGCGCCGGAAACTCTTCTCGTCTTTGTAATTGTTATTTAACGAGGAAGGACCAAGAGAAGCGGCCAGCACAGCCCAAAGCGCCGGGACGCGACCTGCCTCCACCAGACCGGAGGGCCGTGCTCCGAGGACTGTTATTTTTTCAAAACCAGAATCTGGGATCTACTAGCGTTAGGTGTGCGCTCCCATCCCCCTCGCTCGCTGGGGCCGCTGCCCCTCCGCCCGCGCCTGCCCGGCCCCGCGCTCCCAGGCCGCTCTGCCAGGGCGCCGGCGGGGGAGAGCGCGGGGCAACCCGAAGGAACAGACACTCACCCCCCAAAGCGCATGATTGCCGAAAAAAAATTGAGATGAGACTTTTCTTGAAAATGTTGTAAGTTATCGGTCGACGGAGGACAGAGGGTGTGAACCTTTGCCGAACAAAACGTAAGTTATTGTTATTTATTGTGAGAACAGCCAGTTGATAGTGGGACTAATATTTTGATCTTAATAAAAAAGAAAAAAATAACCCGACGAGAAGTTGCTTGTGTGCTGTTGGCGCAGCGGGAGGCTGGGGCCCGGGGAGTCCGGGGACGGCTCTCGGCAGGGCGGGGCCTCGTGCCCGCGCCTCCCGCTCCGCGAGCTCCCGCGCGGCCCCTGCGGATTGGGCGCCGCGCGGGGGGCGGGGCCGCGCGGGCCGGAGGAGCGCGTGAGCGCCGAGGCCCTGCCGACGGCCGGCGCGCGCTCCCGCTGCCCCGGCGCTTCGCCGCCGCCGCCCACGCGGCAGGAGGGCCGACTTGTTTGGGCGGGAAACCGTCTGAGCTCCCGTGGCCGGGCTCCCGGGGGCGCCGGGCTCCGTGGTGGCCTTGCTTCAGCTCCAGGAACCGCCTGGGCCACCGTTCGTTCCGTTTGGGGCCAAGGCACGCGCTCGGCCGTCCCGCTGCTGCTGCTCCTGTCGGCCCGGCGGCCCGGACGCCAACACCGGTGCCGCACCCGCCCGCTCTCCCCGCCCTGCCCCCGAGCAGCGAGGCCAGCCTAGCGAGCCCTGGGCAAACAAGGGGAGCCCGACGGCTCGTCCTCGGCCCTGTCCCCAGAGTGGACGCGCGACGTGATCAATCTCGTTGCATTTATTAATTCCCCCGTCTAGACAGAGGAGAAGGCCGTGCGGCGGCTTCTTATCTGCATTTGGCATCACCTGCAAGCGATACACTGAAGGAGCCGCAACAAGCCCCCGCTAGGATCGCTGCTGCCGGGAAAAATAAGTCCACCCAGAACCAGTCTGGCGTGTCCTCGGTTTATTTTCTTTCCAGACCCGAAATGCAGGGGGCAGGGGATGGCCTGGGTGGGAGGGGGCTGGGAATGGCCCCTGGATATGCCGTGCCCAGGTCAGTTGGTGTGACATTTCAAACCCCTGCGACTTGTTTTCTTGAAAACTGGCTTTAGTGATCGCAGGAAATAACCGAGAGATACTGAATCTCCAGCAGGCCCCCGGGCAAGCACAAAAAACGGGCAGCTCAGGTTTTACCCTTCGCAAACATTTAACCCTTTGGCGGCCTGGGACAGTTCTTTCCCCAGCCCCTCACTTGGCAGACTCAGGAAACTGCCAGCCTACCAGCCAATCCACGACTCTTGAAGAATCTCTGGCATTGGGATTCTGTTTCCTTGTCCTTTGAGTTAAATGACCCACAAGTATATACGTTTTTGTCCAGAATTCGATTTGAAAGAGGGCACTACTCTGAGTAGGGGATATTTGTTATCTTAGATCAGGTAGAGTTGGGGAGGAAAAATGTGTCTTAGGGGCAGCTGTGGGCCCTGGATAGAGCAGGCACCTTCTGTTAGAAAGCCATGGCTTCTTGGATGGCCAGAGGCCACCGTAGGTTTTTCAGCAGAACTGATGGGATTCCATCACCCTCCACCCGCATTAGAGACGGGAGGCTGGAAGATGAGTTTGCAATTTTTGAAAGAAAATGGGAGGAGGTGGGACAGTTGAGCCACATTTATATTTTATTTCCTGAAAGTCAAGGTGATGCTAGCACAAAAATTAAAAATAACATTCTCCTCCTTCTGGATTTAGGAATCGGTGCTGTAAATTTAGAGATAAGGGAAGAGATATGCAGGGTTAATGAAGACCAGCTTCACCTCTCAAGTGCCCAGAAATGGTTTTAATAATCAGGGTCAAGTTCTCCGAGGCTTCATTCCCCTAACTTAGACCGTTCCCTTCCAGACAGAAACGCAAGTCCCTTTACCTTGTAGCTGGCCATTGTACAGGAGGTTCAGCTTCCCACAAATCTTACCTGTGAAAACTTTAGACTTTTCCAGAATACTGGGTTTTGTTATTTTTTAAAAAAGAAAGTAACAGGTTCTTGATTAAAGAATTTCGTTAATGGTTGTTAATTAGCTCAGAATTTTTGATTTTGACTGCGTTATTTTAAAGCTCTGAATGGAAACATTTGCCTAATGACAGTTATCTCTATCCTTATCATCCATAGATCAAAAACCTAATTCCTATTTGATATTTATATGAGTGCATCTGATTTTGAATATTGGGGATTACCCAGATAAAAGTGGTTACTGTGTATTAGGATGCCTCCATCTACTGTGTAAAACATCATGAGCCCTGCAGTTTGTGGAAAGCCACCCAACAGGACGCATCGTTTTCCACGTGGGTTTTCAGGGTATGGAGTTGACTTTGAAGCCTTATTATAAAGGTCCTCAGTGAGATGTCAAATCTGTGATTGATTAGTTACATTAATAAATATCAGTTTTACTAGTTCTCAGGTCATCTTTTAAACATCTGTAGTACCATAGGGATTTCTTTGTAAAGTAATTACCATAACAATTACAAGTGTTTTATTTTATGCTTACTGAATTTTTAAAGTGAGATACCCAACTGTGTAGTAAAAAATTCAATAAAAGAGGCCATGGGTGGAAAACAGTAGTCATTTAACTAGATGCACTTTAGGGTAATATTTTTAAAGAAGATTTATCAAAAAAATTGGACAGGTCTGTGTAATTGAGGCAGGAAAGGAATTCCCAGAGATGGGAAAGTTTTATGGCTATTTTAACACAAAATTTAATACAGTTTGAAATGCTGCATAATTCTGGAAAATTCAGTCTTTGTGGCAGTATTCTCAATGAACTTTAATATTTAATGGGTTGTGGAACAGAAATCAGCCTCAGTTTTGACCATGGAATAGCTTAAAGCTCAGTTTCGTCAGAGCAGCAAATACTGGGTTTAAATGAGACAATATCTAAGACTGTTCTCTAGAAAATGTGAGATTATGCCACTGCCGCTCGGCGGGGGCATAAATTGTCACATATTTAGTTAGCTGCGTTTTCCCCTATAAGGATGGGTTCACCAAAGAGAGCCTGAGAATTAGCTGCATAACAGCGCGCTGGAGAGAGGAAACAATGAATGAATATAAACTATTTGCAGAGAAGTTCCCAGTGGAGTTGTGAAAAGAGCAGGAAATTCAGAGTTTATTAAGCTGATGAAGGGAAGATTAGAGGCTTTTAAATATGGGTCTGATTGATGTAAAGGTAAACTTTCGTCAAGATACTAGGATTCAGTGCAGTAATGAGGATTGTGCGACCAATGACAGACCAGCACCTTGTTGATAGATCCTGTGCATGGAAGATGCAGATAAATGGAATCCGAGTAGTAATGGGAGAGAAAAAGGGCACAAGGAAATACTCCATTGGGATCCAGATGTGCGTTTGGGTGAGGAGTGCCTCAATGTATAAGCGATCTTACCAGAAGGGCGGAAGTGCCAGGTGAGTCCCGCCGTGGGATCAGGGCCCCTCTTGGTCCAGGTCAGCAGCTGGCAGGGGAGTGTGTCAGGGAGGCAGTGGAGGGGCACGACTTTAGGGAGGCTGAGAGCTTCAGGGGGTGGTTTGAATGGAGAGGAAGGTGGATCCGCGCCGGGGCCGTGGGGGCAGGGAGAGGAGACGGGGAGAATAGGCGGTGCGGGGCATTAGCACCCCAGATCACTGGGGCCCAAGCATTTAGAAGGCTGGCGAGGAGCTCCGGAAGGAACGAGCCCGGTGGTTCTTCCCAGCTGCGCTGAGTCGGCAGGGTGAGGTCCGGGTCGGGCCCCGCAGGGGCGAGTCTAGGGTTCGAGGTCACAGCGTCCCCGGCCGCCAGGAGGGAGGGCGAGGCTCCGGAACTGGGCGGGAAGCGGCGGGTGCGGCATCCCGCTGGGCGCCCCGGGGGCCGAGCGCCGCAGGGCCCTCGGGAGGGCGCGCGCCCTCCTGCAGCGGGAGACTCGGTCGGGCCCCGGCGTCGGGGGTTCCAGCGTCGCCGCTCCCGGGCCTCGGGAGACCCTCTACTACTTGCTCGGCACCCCAGGCTCGGAAGCCCGGGCGAACGTGCTGCTTTGGCCCCGGCTGTGTCCTGTCGCGTCGTCGGCTTCACGGGCTGGACCAGCAGAGGCTGCGGCCGCGGCCCGCAGCGGTCCACCCGCGGCCACCAAGCCGCGGGGAGGAGCCAGTGGGGGGCACCCGTCCCGCGAATGGGACCCAGGCGTGCCGCCCTCACCTGCGCGCCGCGCTCCCCCATCCCGCGAGGCC